TCAATCAAATTTTCATTTTTTTTTTTTTTTTTTTGTATTAAAAATTATTTATTTCAAGTTTTGTTTTTTAAAAAAAAATAATATTTTTATTTAAAACGTGGCAGTACGGGTGAAACGGGAGCGCGGGTATTTTCTTTTTCACGAGTCGATGGGCTCATCGCGCTGGTTGCCAAGTTGTTTTGGTGATGCGTTTTAAGCTCTATCCACCGAAACTTGGCGCATACTTTGGCGAAATCAATCGCAACAAAATCCCCCGGAGCACATTTAGTGTTGACAAGCGTGTATACCGACCTGAACGACCTCGGGCGACCCGCTGCGGAAAGACGACGGCGGCGTGCCAGGGCGATTCCTCGTGCTCTGCCTGCGACTGCCGGTCCTGTGCGCACCACCACCGGCACCACCACCACCACCACCAGCAGCGCCCTGCGCCTCATTATCCGGGCTCTGCGAAAAAAAAGCAAAACAACAGCACTCGCGCAGCCCTCGCGTCAAAAGACACTTTACTCCCTCCTCGAAACTCCGAGGTACGGACGGTAGGCACGAAGCCATAGCTACCAACTGACAAACGCGCGCGTGGCGACCCAACTTTCTCCGCGTAATCGTGCATTACTCACTTTTCGTGAGGTAACTTATATATATACTCATACGCTTTGCGTCATATGTATACCTACATCACTATGTTGTTGTTTCTTATTAGGTCCCCCCTCCCTTTATCCCCCCCCCCCGACGTAAACGAGACAAACGGTATACAACATATTATATGTACCAATCATACCTACGCGCGAGCAAACGAGTCATTACTTCGATACACTTGGATTATTCATTTGTCGCGGGATGCACGCAAGCACTGCTGGGCGCATCCGACACCGAAAGCTCACTACCCCTATATTGTTCTCTCTTTGGCAGCTGCGCGGATGCTGCTGATGTTTTGCCCGCCGAGCTTGCGGCGCAAGCGCCACCCCCTCTCCCCTACCTCTTTGGGGGGAGGGAGGGGGGTAGCAGATGCTATCGTACGTGTTTTTTTTTTTTTTTTTTTTTTTTTTTTTACGTCGCAAGAGGTTTTGGTTTTCGTTGAAGGGGAGGGACGAGAATCACCGAGTTGATGAACTAATCGTGTCGGAAGCCATACATCACTTGAACGCGGGCGGGATGGAAGCTGCTTTTTCGATCCCACCCCGAGTGGTAGGGAATTCGTTTAGTTTGCTCTTCCATGAATCGTTATCGTTACCCACGTATCACTACCAAAAAAAAAAAAAAAAAAAAAAAAAAAAAAAAAAAAAAAAAAAAAAAAAAAAA